TGCACGGCTGTCGTTGCTTATACCTTTGGCTTTCAGACAAGGTGAAACGCGTTGTTGAATATAATGTTGAGTTCGAACAACAAACCTACATCCATTTCCATTTTAAATACTATCGTTTTACCCTGCTGTCAGCTACCACACGTATTGTATAGTAATGCTTACAGTCTATGTCCTGCAAAGCAAGAAATGTTCCCGAAACCCCGCGCATATCTACGGATTCTTCGGTACCGTTTTATTTGCTAAGTCCAAATGGTCACTTATCACTGTGCTTATGCTTCAATCCCCCGCGCTTGTTGTCAGCATTCATTCAACCATTGCCGCTTTTAAACGCAAACTGAACTTCACGTAAAAAGCACGAGTGTTGAACAGTGGATGAACAAGCATTGAAACATTTTGTTACATCAAGTTTACAGCAATAAGCTGTGCAACCAAACTAACTGCGTTCGTCGTTGAGCTGTCGTTGCGTGTAGGCGCGACAAACAATGGTACTGTCACGTCGAATCGAAGAGCGAGACAATTGTCCCGTTTGCACGTTTCAGTCTTCAGTTTGTTAATATTGTACCCTGGCATTGAACTATGCTGCTATCGATTGGCCTTCCTCAGTGTTTATCGATTCGCTGAGTCGATGGTGGCGCTTGTTGTCCTGACAATGATACCCACTTTCAGCAGACTTGATGCTTGTTTGGTTATTCCGGATGCTCGGCGGCTGAGCTGGGTTTCTACGAGATTAATGTAGCTTCATTTCCAATACGGACCAATAGTCTTAGGTCCTTGTTCTTATGATTTTTGAAGAAAACTATGAGTATTGCCTCTTTAGAAAGCATGATGATAGTAATCAAGATAAACCGAGCTAAGTAAATATAATCAGCTGTGCCAGATGTATTCGCTGCCAAATGTATATTTACTATTTGGAATACAGAATCGAAAGACTAGCCGTGTCTTTTACCTAGTCCCTCAGGCATTTGTGCTACCTGATGGAATTTGTAATGTTGAAGCGACTTGTGATTTATGATGAGAAGTGATTTTGCAAGCACTAAATTACCTCAGCATTCATTCCGAAAATATATACTCCGATGACTGTCCTCGGAACTTGAGCATTAATTCGCTAGTTGCCAAATCACCCATAATTGACTCTACCATGGGACGTGAGATAGCTGATGGTTTGCATGGATTTATTGTCATTTGGTAACATGCAATGGGAATAAATATTAAGAATAGACGTAGAACCTGCTGGGATATCATGATTTCAGTAGAATTGGAATACAGATCGGATTTTGTGTTTTCTATTGTGGCAGCTCTTCGCTTTTGACTCAAGTGCTTCTTCAGACCACCACAGGAGTATTTCACCACAACCATTTCAATTGCTGCTTAACTGGCTTTACACATTTATACTTCCGCTTTCTGCGAAAGACGCAACGAAAAACGCTTTCTACTGAAAGTGTTAACTGACACGGTGTATTGCGCCTTGTGAGGATTATGGTACTATATCCGCACCCACTCTTAGGCTTGGCCAGCACCGTAATTTCAGAAATCTTCCTTGTGGAAGAGAATAATAAGCATTTTAGTCATATTGCAAAGAAACCCTACGCTTTTTTGGGCACAACGTTTAATTTTTGTTTTGGGTCTTTAAATGGATGGACCTAGTGAAAAATCCGTGTTGATTTTATTTAACGTTTGGACAATAATCACTTTACTTAGAGTGAGACTGACTTAGTACTTCCTGAACTCGAGATGCCGCCTCAATTGAAAAGTCGGTTAGGATACATACCGTGCACTCATGTTATTTTTCATGGCGACATTTTGCTGCTTGGTGCCAGTTTAGTCATTGTCCCATATGTTTGGTTAAAACTCATGTATCGATAAGTACTACAGATGGGTTTAAATATGAGGTAAGTTAGAGGTACTCGTCATGTAGTATTGGAAAATAATCGCAAAAGTGTATGCGAAAGCGCGCCCGTACTTTAATCGGCAACGCAATACACCGTAGTTTGAATGGCAATGGCCCAAGTTCATTTGCTATTTTGCACTTAACTTTAAATTTTACGACAAATTAATGATTTTTAGGATAATTATTCGAACCAATTTGCTTAGAATAATTCCCACTCGTTGTTATCTTGGGAATAGGAGACAGAGCAACGTCTGCAGACGTTGGTTGAAACACAGTCATTGATGGATTTATATGAATGTAAATAAATGAGTAGCTTGGTAACATAGATTCGCCACATAGCGAGTAAATTGATTGCATACAATTAGCCTGTATGTGGAACAATTCGCTACAAACGTCCTCTGGCTGTTTTCATCCCATGCGACACTCTGATGCTGAAAGTGCGAAACATAGACAGTTGTCCATGAATATGATTTGCTATTGTAAAGGTGGACGACTGAGTCAATACTCAAAGTGACACGTGGAAGTTTAACCACCACTTTCTCTTATGTTATCAGAATATCTTGCTTGGTTAATTGGTATATTTCAGTACAGATATCCGATATATATCAGACACTCAGTGTCCGAAGTTTGATTGCCTGCACTTTTAGTCGTTTGACAATCGCACACCGAGCCGCTCAGTTAGCTTATGATGAGGCATTTAAGCTATTATGTGAGGAACTGGTTAATATTACATTACATCTCACGCTTCTTGTAAAGGACCGAATCTTCTTTGTGATGATTCTGCAATTGGAACATTGGAAGCATTCATAGTTTGGGTAAATCCGCCAACCTTTCCTTTATGCGAAAAGCAGTCGAACACAAAATGATAGAGATTTACATTGCATGAAACGCCAATTAAACATGCTTTTCCATTTACATCACTTTTTCGATCCAGCTCATCAAGCAGAAACTCAAAGATCAATTTTGTCAAGACCCGCTACTTCTATTGCGCATTTTATCGTGGTACAAATAAACGCGCATTGGTTCCGCTTTTGAGATCTAATGTTGTTTACTGAAATTCCAGCTTCGTTTGTGAAATAATTAGCCAGCATTCACATGTGACGCGCATTGGAACCGCATCTGCTCATGGATCTTTCAGTGACTACGATTAGTCTCGGGTGGAATCCAACAGATAGATACATGGTGCATAGCGGTCAGCGGATACAATATTAAATTCGGCACCTCTGTCGTCCATAGCTTCTAGTCACTGTTTACGTTAAGCAGCCGCGTTTGGCCAACTGGCAATTTGCGCATGTTTACATCAGCGTAGGAATAGTCTGCATATTTTTAACAGCAAGTAAGAAGACAGCAATTGAAGTGATAACTTTGTAGGTCGTCAGAAAAGCTTTCATCCCATTTTCTGCGTAACCACTGCATGAAGGAAAAAATGTCGCAGCGGAAGATGTGAACTGGAATAGATCAACATTAGAGTCTGTGTACTGCTTAACGTCTTGACTACGGTGCCAATTACTTGTTATCCGTTGGTCCGTTAGCATAAATGAGCTGACAATGTCACGTGTAGTGTAGAGTACGCAGTTCGGTTTTCGTGGGATAGTAACGAAGACCACATACATTAGTGAACTTTAGGGCAAATCATCTGCACGTACTCCATCTCAAGTCGGAAAACCCGAAGGAAACATATTTGCGCATGAATCATCACCGAAAAAATGGGCATCTTTTTGTTCCACATCAATGCATGCAACCTATAGTGGGCACTTTATCCAGCGCTTTAATGCAGATTATCATTCTTTTTACGCCTGCTTCACAGAGCTGTGCGTGTGGTAATCGCTGAAGGTCAGAATTTTAATTTCATCGGGTACTTGTATATGATAATATTGCAAACGTAGGTTCAATTTTATACCCACAGTAGAACGTGAACTCAATGATTGAGCGAAGGATTATCAACGCTGCATTGTACCCTGTGTTATCGTCTGGCGCTATTGGTTTCCTACTGCAATTTGAGGAACTATAGTGACCTGCTTTGCTCGTGCATCCGATATATGCCTATTATTACCTACAGATGAGGTAAACACTGATTTTTCAAGGTTGTGAGCTGCAGATGATGATTCGCAACCGGCAGTCTACCGGCTAGCTATGTACCTAGACTAAAATATTTTGGCAACACGGTACATCGTCCGTCGAAAGTGCCGTAGTGTTATTCCTGTAACGTGTTAAGCAAGCACAAGGAAGCAGAGAACATGGTAGCTATTCGTCAATATCCGTGATAGGTTCTTCGGGATCCGGCGCTTCATTAGGTGCGGAGCACCTTCACTAGGTTTCTGCGTCGTGCACTACTGGCAATCTCTATTTTAGTGACTTGTGGTGCAGCTCTGCTACCTGCATATGTGTAGTTCATAGATGTACAGTACCGCCCACGAGACAGCATAGCTCACAATTATCACCCAGATAGTCCTAAGGTGGCATGATTCGTTATTGTCAAAAGTACCTGAAAATGGATTTCAAAAGTATCTCGGTCCACTTGCAAGGTTATAATTAGAATCCTGATACACGAAAGTTCTTTCAACATGCAACTATATGACGTATTTCATGTAGAACTGATAAACATCACATGTTCTGAGCACTGACCAGCTATCTTAAATGGTTTTATGGAAAAGGAACAGTTGTTTCGTACTGCGGAACTGGAAACCATAGAGATGTATTTAACGTTGTGATCATTTAAAATGCTTTTGCATTTGAAGAGACGCAAATAAAGGCATGTGTCTCTATCTAGCTTCGTTGCATGTGTTCTAATTAGAAGTAGACTGAAATCGTAATGGATCATATTGTTCATTGCGAATTCTGGGTGGGACATTGTCTTTGGCATTCTAAAGGTCCCTTGACACAGACATTTATTATAATGTATTAGACACTGGTCTTTCTCTAGTCAAAGATGTGTGACCATATCATGGAGATTAAATTCGACATAACGGTATTGGTGAATGCGACCATTAACGCTATACGTTACTCCGTACATTGCGAACCGTTGGTAACCTTAAAGGCTGTCGGCAATTTTTCCCCGTCTGGCCTTTAACCCGAAACGTTTTCCGTTTGGCTGTCTCTTCTTCTCGTGCAGTTATTCTGCTTCTTTGGTTTACTCGTTTGCGACACTACTGGGTGAGCCGTAAACATGCCAAGATGCCGAGTCCCGTGAGCGAGGGAGTGATTGCACCTGAAACGCAACATCAATTGTACAAATCATCAAATACCAACGACAACTTTCCAACTTCTGATCCATGGCAATTGGTCACTTCCGGATACCGTGCGCAACAACCCGGGGAGGTGTATCCCTACGCATTTTCCAATCAGCAGCTCACCTCGTTTGATCAGGGTCGATCACATTTCAGCGCCCCTGATTCTTCTGGTCTATATGCATTTGGACTTGGTTCACATAGACTTGTGAAGGAACCATATGTAGCCGCTACTTATAGGCCCCAACTCAGCAACATTCCACGTGTACAAGCGGCAGTGCCAGCATCAAGTTCACAACAGCCACCCTTATGGTCCGGTAGGTTCAATATTGTCTATGATGCAATACCTATTGCGAACATCAATGTTATTGTCACAGTATCTTATGCTTATCTCACATACTCCCTTCGACGATAGAATTGTGCCATGGATACTGTTCAAAAAGGCTTATGGAGCTTCAACAATTCCGGCTAAAGAGTTGGGATACATTAGCAATTTATACTAGGTGAGACGCATTATAACTCAGCACCTATATATGTGTTGTATAACCCATGAAAAAACCGACTTATAAAATTGAAAATAGCGCCGTGTGGATAATTTCAAGAAAGTGGTAAGTCTAAAACGACATATGTGGCAATTGAGTATACTAGTTAAAATGGAGTTTCAGAACCTTCATCCCATGATTTGGTTGCGTCAGGTGCTCGAAAAGGGACTACCGTTTTACTTGAAAGTTGGCAAGGTTTGTTCACTGGTGAATAATAATAATATTAACTCCATTAATACTAATAATAGCATGCAAACAAATGTGCACCCGGCTTCACAACAACAATAACGAAGGCAGCTGTGATACTGAACAATTAGTTTAAGCTGTTCGCTTTACTCAACTACATGTAGTATGAGGTGGCCTATAGGTCTTAAGCACAAAATTTTTCATGTTCACTGATCGTGCATTTCTGTGCACTAACCGCGCCAAGTGAAAGATCTGTAAGGTGAACTACGTGCTTCTTCGGTTCGCCAGAAGTTGTTATCAACAACCACAGTTAATGTTACCATATTCGTCGTCATCGACCACTTACGGGGGCGCACTGCTCTCTGATCTATATGCCGGTTAAGTCACCACATCGGCCCTTCGGACATGGTTTGATGCGGTTTAACTGTTGCACACAATTACTTCATCAGCTTGGGAAAGACTGCAGCGCCAGGGACCAATCCTCCTAGCAGAATTTATTAATTAATTAGTATGTGCATGTTTTATTACGCATACGTCTATTTGGCGTATAAGTTATTATAATTAGTATGTATATTTAGTATGGATACGTAGTATGGATATATAGTGTGGATATTTAGTACGGATTGATGCAACCGATAACATTAGGGTTTTACGCTTCTTGCATTCAGATAGTTACATGTACTTAAAGCTACATTGTGTTTGCAATATGCATTGGAAGATTTAAGAACAACGAATACTACGCATTGCCAGGCGCGCTACCGTAGTGACCCTAAAGTTTAAATTGGCTACAAGCGAACGCGAATTAAATCATAAGTTTTAAACAAACAGCGTAATTTGTGACGCGGCTTTAGTTGCAATAATATCCCTTCTACCTTGCCGATACTCAAGCCTTTGCTAATGAATTGCAGCTTTACCTGGGCATGGTAGCACGTTCCGAAAATCCGGAACAACTTTATTCTCTTTTCAGAGGCTAGTGTCTAAATGACCCGGTTTAATTGTTATAAATTGGACTTATTGATACAGGTAAGCATGTTTTGTTACTGTGCTATCAAAAATAACAGGCATCAGCAATCGGTTAGTAAGCAGTACCGATGCTTCGCTATCGTGCCACCATCACCGGTCACACTTTGGCCAAGGATGCTGCCAGGGTCCACAGGTCCCTATCCAAGCTGGAGGCAGTGCCTTCGGATTGCAAGGCAGGCGCTAATCCTTATGGCTACGGACGGGATACACTTTCCAGAACTGTTTCAACGCAATAACGGATGGTTCTGCGATTATGTGAAATGCTATGCCTCAATTATGAGTAGAATGATTTTGGTGAGTAATTTTGTTCGTCACAATCAGCCGACAATTCAGATAAATCTACTGCCTATCCAGAAATGCACCAGAGGGCCGTTTCGCGCTATTGGGGCTCGTCAGTGTTGCGCATCCTTCTGTCCTCTCCGGAGGTTCGAACCCATAACTGCTATTGGCTTGTGTCCACTAGCCCGCAGCTTATGCACATGCGCCATGGAGGACGGCAGACGACCATCACGGATTGTTAGCTGATTGCGATATAGCCCGACCCATCCTTCACTGCCATGCAGGCACCTGTCATGCAGATGACAGCGGTTGGCGTTCCGGCGTCAGGACTTCCCGGTTACGGCAGCTAGGAATCCACATAGCATTTATGGATAGCAGTAAACTTATCTGAATTGTCGGCTGATTGCGACGAACAAAATTGCTGTGCCTCGTCAATAAAATCAACTTGGAAACTGCAGCTCATACTTGCTTGTAAGCCATGGCGCTAGAATATCAGGACGATTTCAGCAAATAAATTTTTCTGACAGGATAAGGAGGACGGTTGACGTATACAAAGTTCGGATTCTGCTGGTATACAGCTTTACCATACAGATGGCATTCCACCAAATTCTGTACGCACATAGGCTGACAGAGCACCCATTCCCTGATAGGAATCCAGCGTACTTAACTGGCCGCTATCCGGAAGCTACTTTAATCATCCACGTCGCTTCATATCCTTGTGCCGACTTCCGTCGACTTAATCTTCTTGTCACCGATTGATAGAGTTGCTACAGAGGCGACTAATGCAGAACACGAGAGTCCGTTGTGTGCGTGACTTAATCCAAGTTGTGATGACCTTGTGAGAATATAGGGCAATCGCTATTAAGCCAATTATATTCTGTAGGTCCTTCGCATAAGCGTTAAATTCCAGATGCGCACAACAGTGAACATTGTGTTGCAGTCATCAAGGTCACTGTAATTCCGAATGCGGATAAGGCGTTTCGATCATTCCTACGGCTGAACGATCTGCGCGCATGTGGTTCAGTGGCGGTTTGCAAAAAGTCGTAGAGCGACTTCCATTGACTTTCCATTCGTATTGTTGCCAAGTTCTGTGAATAGATGGTAGCAAGCAAATCGTCTATGTTTAACTGTAGCCCGCCATACGCAGTTACATCTGGCGTCGGCGTTAATGAATATTCCTTTATACTTTGATTTACGTAAAAGGGTTTGGCGCAGCCCTTGCATTGCAGATAATATTAGTCATGTTTTACTTCAAAACAACCAGAATTAAAGAAAACTTTGTTGAGAATACCAGTCGCTCACTGTGTATTAATAAGGTCGAAGGGCAACACGGATTGGAGGGCCATTTTAAGTGCTCGATGCGTTCTCAAAAGCTATACTTCGTAAAACAAATACCAAACAAATACCAATACCAACACAAATACCTATGCGATATCGATCTCGCTTGGTTTATTGCCTCTGTTTAACTGTTCCAATCGTTCAGCACTCGGCGTTTGAGGTATTCGATCTAGTAAAACTAGTTCTCTTTACTCAGGAGCAGGAGAACATTTATGGAATTTGTTAGGCGAATTTATCCCTGTCGTTATCAAATCAAACAGTCTTCTACGTGCCCGGAGTGCTCTAAAAATCCATTTCGACGCGTTGGGATCCCTCATTAGTGTGCCTCCAACGGATCCATCGGATCCATAAGGTCCCAAGCCCAGTAGCATTAGAGGCTTGTGCTGCCAGGGAACAGCTGATGTCACTGATGGTTGGATGACAGCAACGGATACTCATGATTTACAAGCAGACTGTTTCAGTATGTGTCCCACGCACAACTGCTATGCAAGTTTCAAACATTGCCAAGGACATGTATGGCTTTAGGAGGTACTTGGAAGGCTTTCAGCTTTGAAAGCATTTGTATCAGTCCCCGAAAGTGATGTTTACTGTGCGCACATGTACACCATCGCAAGTAGCATAAGGATGTTCATAAGATATACAAATATATGCGGACATTAATGCATTAAACCAAATCCGATGATACGACGGTGTGTACAGCGCAACTGTGCCTACTTATCTTGGCAAGACATACATCGTAAACTGGAGAAGCGCCTGGTTACTGCATGCTGTACACATTCCAGATTTTTCACCTGGTTACAGGTGATCAGGGACAGGTGGGTGAGCCATACTTGAGCAATAGACTTAAGAATAAAGGGAAGAAACGTAACCACTTCAGAACAAGTGCAGTAGCATTCGCAGCTCGTATTCATACAAGCTTTATGTGTTGTCCATGGACTTCGGTTTGCAGTGTGGGTATGCGCATAGGTCCCTCACGGAAGGTGTGTGATGATGCAGTAGGCCGACCAGAATAAACTTACGCCCATCACGACTTTCTCTTAGGCTCATTCACAACAGATTAATAGGTTTTGTCAAGAAAACTACCTGTGCAGAATGCACAAAGTTGCAGTGGACGTTATGTAGTGGCTTTCGTATTGTCCATCAACATAAATTACCTTCCAACGTTTCAGATTATCTGCTAACAGGGCACGGGGTAACTGATGAATTGGAGGAACTTCGTTGATGGGGATCAGCAATACATTCGATCCCACTGCTGTGCCATGTTTTATACCGCTATTAGAAGGGTAACGGTCAATTTTATTACCAATTATCCGTACCCTTCAGCTGCATGCACAAGTTAATTCACCGAATTCTCTGGATGAATTTGTTATGTCTGCTAGTCAGGAAGCCGCATCATGCTTAATTCAGCGTTTTCCAATTAGTGTTTTAAACCTATACTAATAACTAGACGTTTCTACAGGTAAGTTCATTGCCATACACACATTGTTTATTCAGATTAGCACAGCATCCGCTGTAGCGATACCGTAGAAATAGTTGCTCAATATAAGCTCCGCTTAGATTCGTAAGCATTGTATGTTTTCTAGGATGACTTTAGGAACCAATCCCTTAACGGATGATTCCCGTACACACACACATACACATCTTTATAACGGGTGGCAATCGATGGGATGGAGTTACTGCAGCAAATGCTTTGGCTTCGGAGATTGCAATAGAGACTATAGGATTAGATTCTCGAGACTCTCGTTTAATTTGTGCATGTGTGGTAACAACGGTATAACACACTCGTATCTATGGTGCGGTTCCTGGTATAGGTTACAAAGCGACTATGTTGTCCCCCTTCATGCTGTGACTATCTGACGCCGTTCACCGCCAACGCCTATCTTTTTCGCTGCGTGCACACCAGTCTTCCGATTCCATTATCCAGAGTGTAATTTTATCAAACAAGTGTT